GGTAATATTGCCAATTTCAACTGATTTCCAAAATATTCAAACTTCCCTCCTCTGCATGGAAGGTCACAATCAAACAAGCATTTACTTATAATACCTTATCTTAGCACGACCTAAAGTCATCCACCTAATTTAAATTTTCACAAGAGTAGTTTGGATTTTTAATCAAATAGATTAAAAGTGGTCCAAGGACAAAACGACATTCCCTATCCTTTTGGGCACGTTGTACTGCATCCAGCCATTAAAACTCACCAATTATTATTGTTGTTGTTTATAAGAACGAAAATACGAACGTGCCCTCGTTTTGAAAGCTTATTCACTACCATGCCATTTTCGGTGATGGAACATTTAATTCACTAGGTTAATTGCACTAGCTTCAAAGGGTTGTTTCTCAGCAAGAAAAAGATTTATTTAGTATGAAGTTTTTAGGTTTAAATAAGAACAGATTTCATCATCTTGTTGCAGGCTCGTTACCAGTATCTATAGAGTTTTGTAGTGAGGTACATTCTCCTGTTAATAAGTGGTGATAAGAAATTTTTGAATTTAAAACATAAAAAAAAAAAAAAGAATTATATTGTGAACAATCTAATAAGAAACAATTCTAAAAACTCATTTGGAAGTCGACGAGATATTTTAGTGAGCAAGTGCAAGTATGTTTCCACTTGACTAAAATTAGTTATAATACTTTTAATTTCTATTTGAATTTTGTGAAAATTGTAATGATTGGGGATTATTTTTTTTATTAATAAAATTACATTTTTCTATATAAAAAAGATATTTATTTATGAAATTAATTGTAAATAAATACTCCCACACAAATGTGTTAAGATCTCTGTTGTATATATATATAACAGGAAATGAAAATTTTTAAAATCCATGGCCTGTAAAATTTATTTTATTGACGTAGACATATTTTTATTGCACGACTTTATGAATATGGTTTTTATTTTACAAGTTAGTTTCATTTTTTTAGTGTTATTATTTTTCCTGGTTTTTTTTATAATGTTTTCAAATTTATTTTGAATTTTTATTCTTTTTTTAAATTATTTTTTTTATCTTCAATTGTAATTTAATAATTTTTTATAATAATTTGTGTGCAAATAAATTTAAGCTTAAATTCCATTTGGCAAAAATGACTTGTGGAGTTTTCCTTAAAGAAAGAAAATAGCTCAAACTTGAATAAATAAGTTACAAATAAGAATTTTAACTATTATTATTGTTATTAAATTGAAAATGATTAGCATTTCAAAATTATTTTTTATTGTTTAATTTAAAAGATAAAGAATAGTGGGGGGCAAAAAAATATGATGACGAATGATTTTTCTCACTTAACCCCTTTCTTAATGATGGAAAAATATGGTAGCATTCAGATTTCTTTTAGTTTTTTTTTTATTATTTTTTTATTTTTTGCCATTAAAAGATAGAGAGATATCAGATTCCTCTTTTTATAGCATTAACCAAAACCTACCTCAAGACTTTATCATGTATGTGATTATATATATATATTGCATAACACAATTAATATCATATATCTTAATTAATTAGATATATTGTAAATATTATGTACCATACAAGTCATAATTAATTTTATATTTTAAATGCATGCAAACATAATATTCTTATAAAAAAATAATCAAAAGTTAAAAATAACTTAAACTAGTTTGAAAAAAACCATATGAAAAAAGAACCTTACATTTTGTTTAGGAGATGAAACAACATCGGGTTAAAGTTGAAACATCTACCCTGATCAACATCAAATGTAAAATTTGAGGGGCTTAATATTATTTTATGTGGTCATGGCTCAGTACTAAACCTGTTTGTTTTGTATGTTATTAATTATTTTAATATCAATTTAAAAGAAAGTTGTAAAATAAAAAATCACGAATGCCTCAATTTTTTCTTGCCTAAGATTCAACTTACAAGGCACTTAACCTTGATTTACCAAAATTAACCCAATAATACTTAGAAGGTTGAACAAAGGAAAATATAGGGTTTAAGAGGAGAGATAAATTATTATACAATCTAGTCATTCACAGAAGATTATGGACTAAAACAATATAATTTTTACACGTTACTAAATTTATCCATATCATTTTGTGATGAATGCATTACATTATTCCATTTTCATAATTATGAAGGCGCAATTGGATGTGAAAAAAATGGCATTGTAAATGTAGTTTATTAAATACATTATTTGAATAAATTTAATTATTTATAACGAAAAATTTTATAATACGCGAGGAGTAACTAGTGGCATGTACGGTAGTTACTTCTTGAGTCCACTTTGAGGAGAGAGATAGACATATAAAAAAGAGAGAAATTACATCCATACTCACCAAAAGTGATAAGAAGATTTTCACGTCCGCTCAAATTTTTTTATTCTCTCTCTCTCTTTTGTGTGTCTATCTCTCTCCTTAAAGTGGATCCAATAAATAACTACCGTACATGCTACTGAGTTACTCTTTGTGTATTATAAAATTTCTCATTTATAACGAGTTCTATTGATTTGATTCAAAATCTTAGTTGGTAAACTAGGTTCGTGTAATAACTTTTAGAAAACATAACTACTTGATTAATAGAACAACCCTAAGGGTTTGACCTGGTTGTCAAGGAGGTTTGCTCCTTTTATCAAGCAAACCTCTAATTTAAAGACTGTAATGCCACCTATGATATGTTAAAAGAACCTTTTAGTTTTATCCGTTAAGCAAGAAAGGGAGCAAGCTACCACGCCAAAAATAGGTGCAAGACTTCTATACGCATTGACGTGGTTTAATTAATTGGCATTCGGACTATTTTGCTTTTGAGGGGGAAAAAAATAGAAATGGTAATATAAAATAATAATAAAGATTTCTTTTTGGTATGAAATCCTGTTATTTGAATATTTTTATTTTACAGGAAGTGATGAATTTATATAATTTTTTAGTGAATTATTGGTTATTGAATTTATCGAGATTAAAGAGATTTGAATTTACAGTTTTTATTTTACTCTCACCAATTTAACTACAATCCAAGAAATAATAATAAAAAAATGTTAGAAAAAGGAGAAAGAAAAGGTTATGCAATTAAAGGTGAGATTTTGAAGGGCAAGTTTTAACCTTGAACTATTTTATCAATTACTACTATTGATGATTGATCGATCGATTTCTATTTTTCGTAGATAGCATTCCATATAATTCCAGTCATGATGCAATAAATATAGTCCCACATAAACAGTAGAATCTCAGTGGGGTTAGTTTGATAAGGTAATGTCATCCAACCAAACACCAGCAAATTCTACAGCGGTAGTTATTCAAATATTCAACTTTTTTACCTTTTTAAAACCCAAATAAAAGCTGTAAATTGTACAGAAAATTCAAGAAAAACTCAAAAGTTAATCCATACCATTCCGACCCAAGGCAAAACGATAAAGAAGACCTCGAAACTTTCCCAATTCGCATCCTCCCAGCCTTTTCAGGTGTCAAATGCTTTGCCTTTTATCAAGCAAAGTTTTTACATTTTTCTTCTTATTTTTTTTTTAGAAAAAAATGGCTTATCCACACTTTTATCAGATCTAAACCGTTTTGTCAAGAAACGAATACAAATACCCTCGCTACCTAACGTGCACAAAATTTGAATTCCTGCCACCACAAACAACATAAAAAAGAAAGTAAAAATAATTTTTTTTAAAAAAGAAAACCTTAAAGCAACAATAACAACAACGATAGTGCTAACAGCAACAACAACCTCATCAAAACTAATAAGTTCTGGTTTTTCTTTCTCTCTCTCTCTCTCTCTGTTTTTTTTTTCGTTTTATGTTTCTATAAAATACAGCCTTTTTCCTCTTTCTTTGTTCTTCTTAAGGTTTGTTTTTCTCTCTTTCTTTAACAAACTTGACCACATTTTGTTACTCATTTAACCTCCCTCGTAACTTACGCTTATTTTTCCCCCTTCAACCAAGTTCGTTTTCTTGTTCCTTTCATTTCCACCTGCGAATCTCGCCTTCTACAAACCCTTTAGCCTTGAATTTCTGTCCAGATTAGGGTTTTTTTGGGTCTTCAGCTTCGTTTCAGACAAGGTGGCGTCTGTTGGAGACAAAGATTTTGAGTTTCTGTTAACCAATTGTAAGTATAGTTGTTTAATTTTTGTGTTCCTTTTTTTTTTTTTTTTTTTGAAATGTTGTCTTGTTTGAACATTAGTTTTTAGTTTTCGAGACAGGAAGTAGTTTTCAATTTGAGTTTGAGGTTTGGTCTTCTTTATTGCTTATGGAAATATGTGTTTTAATTTCATGTTTCGATCAAAATTAGGTTTTCTAAGCTGTCAAGCTGTCCTTTATAAAGCAACTTTTTTAGCTTTTGCTAACAATTATCGACTTCTTTGTTGGATCATAGTTTACTTTTTTTTTTGTTTCTTTTAATATTTGTTTCAATCACAAAACCCCAAATTAGGAGCTTTCTGTATATATACTAATTTATTGCTAAGGTTGTGTCATCTTAAGTTTTTTTTTTGGGCCTCATAGTCATCGGCCATTAATTGTTATGAAGGGAACTCGTGAGTCTAATTTAAGTTTATGGGTCCCGTGTTGTTCATAATTAGATTATCTAAGCTGTTTGTTTTGATTTTATTTTTATTTTGAAGTGTGGCGTACTGAATTACAAGTTTCCGAGCTTTTGGTTACAATTTGAGAGTTTATTGTTGAATCAGGGATTTCTAGTTTTTTATTCAATTTTTGATTAAATAGAGAAAAAACAGAAAAGAAAAACCCAATTTGTTCCATCTCATTTATTGCAGAGTTTGTGTCATCGTAATGAATGGTTTCTTCTTTTACCTTTTGGCCCTCGTAGACATCTATTCCAAGTTGTTAAGATAAATCTTGACTGTAATCTAATTTTGGGGTCCCACTTTGATCTTAATTAGATGATATGAGCTTTCTTTTTAAAAGCGTTGTTTACTGAGTTACAGATTATGAGTTACTGATGGGTCATTTTTTCAGGGTTTTGAAATTTGGAAGAAAAATTGGCGATAAAATGATGTTATCAGCGTCACCAGCAGCAGTGACAAGGAGCTCTCTGGAGGAGATGCTGGACTCGCTGCGGCGACGAGATGATGCCTTGGAGAAGTCCAAGGACCTGCCTCCTGCTTTGCCAGCACGGCCTACTTCTAGGGCACGGCTTCCCTCGGCACGCCACTCACTGCCTACAGACTTTAAAGTTGGTTCCACTGGACAAGTGGAGAGCAAAATGGAGACAAGAGTTAGTAGAGCGAAGGAGGATACAAAAAGAAAGGAGAAGGAGTTGGGGTACAAATCAGGGAGTTTTGGAAGCAAGAAAATGAGGAAAGATCAAAATTGTGTGGATTCTAATCCATATGTAGAAGAGAATAATGAGAAAGTGGGGCCAGTTGTGAGTTCAGCACCAAAGGGGAAAGAGCCAGAGTGGGATGATAACATTGGTTATTTTATCAAGAAGGTAAAGGATAAAAAAAATTCTGTTAATTTGTTTGCTTTTTATTCTTGTTTCATTGGATTAACTTGGTTTTTGTTGTTTAATATTATTACTAGTTTACAATGTGTTTTTGCAAGAGGAATGCATGTGTTTCTTGTCATACAAGTTTTGTTAGTTTAGGTTTTGGTTATAATTACATAGTAGAACTAGTAATTTTAAGACTTAAAGAAAGTTTCGTATCATGGGGTATTCATTGGTGGTATGTGTTGCAGCTGGGGATACTTGAGTAGAAATATTTCCTATTCTATATTGTTGTATTTATTGGCAAACTAACTTTGAAGAAAGAGCAGTGATGTTTTTATTAATGGATGATGGGTGGGTGGAGCATAGTGCAAAAGAAGGTATAAGTTAACATTGTTGTGCTGTCGAGATGAACGAGCAGGTATCATGCAGTGTACTAGGAAGAAACCTTTTATCACAATGTCCAGCGTAATTTAAATCAGAAGGTGCACTGTAGCTGAAGTGTTTAGAGATGCTAGATCTGCAAGGACTTTTCATTTTATTGTCAATTATTACCATGGCTCGCTGGATTTGTTTTGAGAGCATCATGCTTTTGTGTGAAAATTCTTCTTCCTTTTTTTTTTTTTCCTTCTCTTATTTGTGAGAATGGAAACAATTTAATTCATGCTTACTATGGGGCTATTTTTTTTTCCAGAGACTACGTGTTTGGTGTCAGCTCTCAAATGGGCAATGGGGGTTAGGAAAGATACAGTCAACTTTGGGGGATGAAGCAACTGTTTCTCTTTCATCAGGAACTGTAAGTTAATAAGCTCCTTTAGCCCCTATGCTTTTTAAACATGTGTGGTTTACTTCCTTGGTGGATTATATATGCAATAATGTTTGTCATTGTATTAGGTTGTCAAAGTGTCTACAGCAGAACTCTTACCTGCAAACCCCGATATCCTTGAGGGTGTGGATGATCTTATACAGCTTAGTTATTTAAATGAACCTTCAGTGCTTCACAATATTAAGCACAGATATGCTCAGGATCTGATTTATGTAAGTAGAATATAATTCTGATGGTCATGCAATTGCCTTGCAAGCCAATTTTATGTCTCCTTTCTGCTTGTCTTTGACTGGCTCTTGTTTTTCCTTCCACAGAGTAAAGCAGGGCCAGTTTTGATTGCTGTCAATCCCTTCAAAGATATTCCAATTTATGGAAACGAAATCCTCACTTCTTACAAGCAGAAGGCTATGGACAGCCCTCATGTTTATACTATAGCCGATGCTGCTTACAATGAGATGATGAGAGGTGGATGGACATTTTTTTTTTTACCAATTGAGTTTGAAGTTACTATCGTTTCTGAGTGTTCTTTTTTCTTCTTATTTTGGGCTGCAATTTTGCAGATGAAAAGAACCAATCCATAATCATAAGGTTCGTTGACTTTCTTTCACTAATGTGGTCTAATTTGGAGCTTTACTATGCTATTTTCCCTTTTTGTCGTTCTTTTTTTTAGTCTTGTGTTATGTTCTCTAGTATTGGGTTTTTAACCACCTCTTCATGTCTCGGAGTATTTGAGATACTTCTGTTGCTTTGAAGACTCACTTTCAGTATTTAACCTACAGTGGTGAAAGTGGAGCTGGTAAAACTGAGACAGCAAAGTATGCTATGCAGTACTTGGCTGCTCTTAGTTGTGGTAATGATGGTATGGAGTATGAAATCCTTCAGACAAATTGTATACTTGAAGCATTTGGGAATGCGAAAACATCCAGGAATGACAATTCTAGTAGATTTGTACGTTGTCACCAACTTCTCTTCTTCTTGTTGGGCTTGGTATGCTTAGATCTGTTGTTTTTGCAATTTGGTTTATCGATAGTTCTCAATTGGTGCAGGGAAAGTTGATTGAAATTCATTTTACCTCATCAGGAAAGATTCGTGGTGCTAAAATACAAACTTGTAAGTATATTTAAGTTGAATAGAATGTTATTATTAGTCTGCCATTTGACTAAATCTGGGTATTTACTAACTTGATTCACTCATGTATATCCAAAACTATTTGCCGATGATAATTGTGGATAGTTCTACTAGAAAAGGTAAGTTGCTGGCGCTTCTAAATTTTGTAGCTTGGAATGTCAGTTAGCATTATTATATACTTCTGAAATTACAATGTCTTATTTGAACAGTCGAGAGTAGTTCAGCTTGCCAGTGGTGAAAGATCATACCATATCTTCTATCAACTTTGTGCTGGTGCTCCAAGAACTCTTAGAGGTACTGTTTTTGCATTATGCTTACAATATGTTTGGGATGGCATGCATGCATTTTCAATTCTTTTACAGAACAGTAGGGCTAAACTAATAGTATTGACATAATGCTGCTTAGGAGTTTCTCATGTGTCTATAACTGCATGTCTTCTATAGCCTCTACTCAATTTTAGTTGCACTGGGAAGTGAAGGGCTTGTCAGTCATGGAAAAGTCAAAGCTTTTTTGTTCCAAAAAATTCTCGTGGAGGATAACGTATGATTAATACATGTTCAAATATGATTATCGCACACATGCACACAAAAAAAAAATAATAATAATAAAAAATAAAAATAAATAAAACAGAAGCAGAAGAATTGTGTTTCCTTTCTTTTCAATTTTCATTTTCATTTTGAATCTTGTAACACTTCCGAGGATATTTTGTAGAGTTCGTGTGCAATTTTGCTTTGTTTTTCATCTGGACGACATGTCTCGCCCACCAAGCTCAAGTTTTTATTTTTACCAAACTGTTTAACTTCTAAAAGAAATACCTGGTCTCTTTCACTTTGCTGTGCAGGTTTCTTGGTTTGCCTATCTTAGATTGTTGTTACTTCTGTTTAACATAGGTGCTTGAAGCCTATAAATCCTTGTTGTGCCCTCGTTATTATTATTTGTTTTTCAAATGATATTCCTTATTGATTAATGTCTTTACATATTATGTCTTTTTCAGACTATAATGCATTTGGAATTTTCATAATTGGAAACATTTCTTCATTGTCTTTCAAATGAACACGTTTTCCTGTTCTTTTAAAAGAAAATGAAATATGCAAAATTGGAAAGATGTCTTTTGTAACCAAACAGCTAGATCTTCCTATTGTTTGAACCGCCTTTATATGTTAAGGTGATTAATTATTGTAGAAGACACACAAACACACTGAAATTTATTAATGGTCATTTGTAAATGCATATTGCTGACCCCAATTAGTTTGGGATTAAGGCTTTGTTGTTGTTGTCAATCATAAACTCTCAGTTAGCTGATGGATTTTAGAAAGCTATTTTTCTTGAAAAGATAAACCTATTCCATGCATTCTCTTCTATGTTCCAGCATGCAATTGATTAATAAGTTGGAGTTGTTTCTTGTTTTTTCTGCAGATAGACTGAACCTTAAAATGGCTAGCGAGTACAAGTATCTTGACCAAAGTGAGTGCTTGGTAATTAATGGTGTTGATGATGGCAAGAAGTTTCATAAGCTTGTGGTAATTCAAATAATTATGTGCTACTATTGCTGCTTATGGGGTGAAAGCCCATTTTCACTTCATTTTATTTCATGGTAATAAGCATCCATCTTTCCTTTTTTGTGTATTTTTTTCCTCATCTCACCAGGATGCCTTGGACGTTGTTCAAATTCACAAAGAAGATCAAGAGCAGGCATTTGCGATGCTTGCTGCAGTATTGTGGCTTGGAAACATATCATTTCAAGTAGTTGACAATGAAAATCATGTAGAAGTATTGGCTAATGAAGGTAAGTTTGATATCGTTTTGAGTATTGAATTGCCAGCTTTCAGTAGTTGATAAAAGCTGACAGCATTTAGTTTCTCTTTTTTTATCATCAATGGAAGTGGGAGATCACATGCTGATTATTTTTTATGCTTGATTAGCATATCTTGAGTAACAAATAACACGTAAGTGTGATTTTCTCCTTGGGAAGACTAGTTGAATCTGTCAATTGTTTTAAGAGAAGGATATTTTTATTGAAAGGGATGGGGTTTAAGAAGTTTGGTCCTCGATTTCCTATGAAAATTTGGATGAGCACAATCATATGTGCAATTGCATCTTAAGAGTAGTTGAATCTGTCAATTGTTTTAAGAGTTGATGTCTACCTACCACTCATAGGAAGGATCCTTTTATGGAAAGGGATGGGGTTTGATAAGTTTGGTCCTGGATTTCCTAGGAAAATTTGGATGAGCACAATCATATGTGCAATTGCATCTTAAGAGTTATTATGCTGAAATAGTGTTTGCATGACCAACAACATATGGAATGTTGTATGTGTTCTGCTATAAGCATTCAGTTGAATTAGGGGAACATATCAGTGTAATGATTGTGATTAAAAATGGATCTTCAAACATGTGCATTTCATGAGGCAATGCTACATTTATTTCATGATATCACTGGTATATCATGGTGCTTTTTCTGAAAGAAGACTGATTCCATTTATTTTCCTTTTGGCAGCTGTAAATAATGCTGCCAGGCTAATAAAGTGCAGTGCCCAGGACTTGATGCTAGCTTTATCAACCCATAAAATCCAAGCTGGAAAGGATAGTATTGCTAAAAAATTGACAATGCAGCAGGTATATTTAGTTCTTGATTTAAAAGTAAATTTACCCTGAATTACGCTAACATCTCTGTATATTTACCCTAGTTCCTCATCTTCTTTTCAGGCTATTGATAGAAGAGATGCCTTATCAAAGTTTATCTATGCAAGCCTGTTCGAGTGGCTCGTGGTACGAATAAACAAGTCATTTGAAGTGGGTGAACTGAGTACTGGGAGATCCATAAGCATACTTGACATTTATGGATTCGAGTCATTTAAGGTACATAAATTTTATCTATATGTTTGGTGAGGCTTTCAGTGCTCTACACTTTCATCCTTGATGATCACCTGTTTAAATTTTCAGAATAATAGCTTTGAACAATTTTGCATAAATTATGCAAATGAGAGGTTGCAGCAACATTTCAACCGGCATCTATTTAAACTTGAGCAGGAGGTAAGCATCTCATATCTAAGCAACATCAACATTAGGGTGCGCTGACCATAATGGAAGTGGTCTTTTACTATTAATATGCTATCATTTCATATACGAACTTATTCTTTTTGGATTTTTGTAGTCAAAGAATGTTCCCATATCATCTCTAATTAATAAAAATGAAATGAATATGTTTTGCTGTCTAGACACATTCAAAATTGTGTAAGAGGGAGTTTTAAAAGCAAATCAAGAATTTTATATCACCAAAATTGTTGGTGTCTCTCTTTCCATTAAGGTACGCTGCGTGGCCATAGGCATGAAACAAATGTGACATCTACATAGATTATTGTAAGTTGCATTTTAAAAATGTTTGCATTTAGAAATGTGTAAAAAGTAACATTTCAGGTCTGTGATGCTCTGATCACACCAACTAATTATTGCAAACCATTTTCCCTACTTTTCAAAGTAGCTTTTTTTGTCCTCAAATATAAAATCTCATCAACAGTTTGGGTCCTTCCCTCCCCCCCCCTAAGAATTCCTGTGATAGTTATAAAAATCTGATTGTCTTTATTAATTGCAGGAGTATGAAGAGGATGGGATTGATTGGAGTAAAGTTGATTTTGAAGATAACCAAGAGTGCTTGAATCTCTTTGAGAAGGTATTTCAACAGCCCCTCATTTCTATATCCTCCACGTGCATCTTTAGATTTCTCCTTGGCATGTGAAACTAGAATGTTTGCCTTATACTGAAAGTGATCACTCATTAATTATTTTGGTTTGTGCAGAAACCTTTAGGCTTACTGTCTTTATTGGATGAGGAATCGAATTTCCCCAATGCTACTGATTTGACCTTTGCCAATAAACTTAAGCAATACTTGAATGATAATCCTTACTTTAAAGGTGAAAGAGGCAGGTCTTTTGGTGTTCGTCATTATGCTGGAGAGGTGAGTTATAGTTTACTTTTGAGGAGCTATGTTTTTTTTTTGTGCACTGTTGAAATTTTCAAGTCAGATTTACAAATTTGGTTCAATCAGGGTTTTTGCTTGTTCTGAAGTTCTAGAGTTGAAATCAATACATGTAAAGCAGTTCAGAATTTGCTTAACAAAAAATATACATGATGACAACAGTAACTAGAACTGACTGCAGCAAAAGTTAACTGAAGTTACAAAAAATTCTGTAAATAGACATCTAATATTTAAGAAGACTATCACACCTCGAATTATTCATGATTGTGCAGATATTTCTTTATGTCCACCTTTCCACCCTTTATTCACTTATGATTCATGTTTTAAATTTATATATCAACAATTCTGGGAAAAAGAAGTTCTATATATGACGAGGGTCAACTGCAAATGCAACATGGTGCTGTTTATCTTCCTTCTTATATTTCTTTGTTCAAGGAATTTCTTGTGATTAAGTAGTTAATTAGATAATAGGAAACAAATATATTGCAGCATATTATCATGGTAAGCAATTGTTACAAATTTGGATCCACTTGTAGAATAAAGCGACAATGATGAAACTCTGTGGAACTTTTATGGCATCATTTTTTGGTGGTTGGAAATGGGGCCAAAAACTTATGAAGTAAATTCTTAAAGTTGGAACTTATTTGTTCTAAATACAAAATTTTAATATTTATTTACAGCACTGAGACTGGTAATTTCTATAATTACAAATGCTGTAAGATATTTATTTCGATAGAGGGTACTTTGTCTTATATTTTGCTTATCTTTCTATCTTCTGTTTGAGTAATATCTCCAGCTGGTTTTTTGGAACTATTTTTTCTCTCTGGGCTAGATTTATGCAGAGTTTGGAACCTTTAAGTTGATACTATGTTAAAGAATTCACTAATATTTGGAGTTTGATCAGGTTGTATATGATACAAATGGCTTTCTGGAAAAGAATCGAGATCCAGTGCACTCTGATTTCATCCAACTGCTATCATCATGCAGTTGCCAATTACCAAAATTAGCAAGTCCATCCTGTCAATTTGGCGGATTGGAATCCTCAATGCAAAGTGTTGGTACAAAGTTCAAGGTAGATAAGCTTCTACTATTCTGCATGACAATAATATCATGTGACTTTTGATGAATATAGAGATTCTACTTTGTTTTGCAAGTATGTGGAGGACAGAATTTTCTGGTATTTTGAACACTTCTACTGGTTGCCTTTTGGTGCTCTTGAATTAATCGCTGCATATTAAAAACTGTATCTTGTGCTTGGGCAAAATAATTCTTTTTCTGGCAACGGCATCAACCATTTCTTGCAATAATTTGTATTTTGCAAAATCTTGAGTGGTCTTTCCTGCCTGTAGAGTCAACTCTTCAAACTAATGCACCAGTTGGAGAAAACCACACCTCACTTCATTCGCTGCATAAAACCAAATGCTAAGCAGTTTCCTGGCCGGTATGAAGATGATCTTGTCTCACAGCAATTCCGATGTTGTGGAGTTTTGGAGGTTGTAAGGATATCAAGATCCGGATATCCTACTCGAATGACGCATCAAGAATTTGCAGGAAGGTACAACGAGGCACCATCCTTTAGTTCTCTAATAATTCCACTTTTAAAGTTGATCGTTCCTATTATAAACCTGCAAAGTGATTTAGGTATGGTTTCCTGCTCACGGAGACAAATGTATCTCGGGATCCATTAAGCATGTCAGTTGCTGTTCTAAAAAAATTTAATGTCCTCCCCGAAATGTATCAAGTTGGTTACACCAAAGTGTATCTTCGAATGGGCCAGGTATGTACTGGTGCTATTTTCACAGTTCTTAATGTTTTGTAATTTCCTCAAATATGCTGTTTGTGGATTATGTCTGCTTTGCTTTTAATGTCCATAAGTTGTAATCCAACCTTTTAGCATGAGCCTGAGGGGGTTGTATTTTGCAAAACCTCGAGAGCTGTATTGATCATTGGATTGTCTTTGTATTAAATAGCACTGGCGCTGTCTAGGAAAAAGAAAAAGGTTTTAACTGAGTCAAATGCTTCGACTTTAGAGCAGGACTGAGTCAAATGTTAATGATTCAAAGCACTTCTTTTTACACTATTTGTTTATACATAATATATGGAAAAAATTAATCAATAATCAATGTTAGTGTACAATGACCTAGAAAAGTTTCGAATGCATGGCTCTTGCCAGTGTTGTTAATGGACTTGATGAGGAGTTCTGGATCTATCAAGGCTTGTCAAACTCTGCAAGAGATCCAAGCTTGAGCTACCATTAGAAAATTGATTTTTCAAGCTCTCAGAATTAAACCACAAGGACCCCGAATGGAGCAAACCTCTATTTGTCTTGGCTTGGTTTGTTCGTGTCCTGGTGCAATAGATTAAGCTATACATGGATGCCATAATCATACTGGTTAGCTTTGATTTCTGCGGACAATTGTTGTGCTTTTGGCCTTGGTTGGTTGTTACTTTAATTACTGATTGTTTATGTGTATTCCAGTATATGAGATTGGGATTTTGATCAGAAAAAGGAAAAAAATGGGGTGTAAAATTTGAGAGTGGCTAGCTCATCTATGCTATTGCTTTTTATATCTGTGTTTTATTACCTGGTGGAGCAATGTATTCTTCTGCATACAATAACTTTGTTACCCAATTAAGACCCAAACATTGCTGAATTCAGGCAAACCATGGCTGACGAATCCAATGCTCGAGTGAAAGGGTGCTTTATCTAGGAACTCGAATGCATTAGTTTGAAGCTACTTTTAGGAATTGATCTGAATATATTTCTCTCTGCTTGTAGTGAGATTTCCATCTTTAATTGCTTCCCTGACTTATCATATTGTTGCCTCACAGATTGGGAGATTGGAAGAGCAGAGAAAACAATTTCTGCAAGGTATTATTGGGGTTCAAAAATACTTCCGTGGTGGCCAGGCCCGTCGACATTTCCATGAACTCAGACAAGGAGTGATGATATTACAATCTTGTAATGCACAATCCTTCTTCAATTCTTTTTTCCATGTCTCATTTGGGATTTTGATTATTTACTTCGCAGTCTTGTTAATCTCACCTTTTCAGCACACATTTCCTTTGCACCATACAAATAAAAGTCATGTTTTCTGTTTTTAGGGGTGTTTTGTCCTTGATGCTACCATATGTTTTTGCTGCAAGGCACCCAAATCTGTTGTTTTGGTGTCTGTTAGCATAGTCTGTTCCTTTGGGATGGATGCTTAGGACCTTGTTATGGATTATTCAGTATTTTTTTCTTAGTGTTTGATTCAGATTACTATTGAAATGCAGTTGTCCGTGGTGAAAACACAAGAAAGAAATGCAATCACATGATGAAGAGGTGCACAGCTAGTGCTGCCCTAGCAGTTGACAATCAGCTAGTGGCAGTTGTATATTTACAATCTGGTAATATTCTATTGTTTATTGGCCAAGTTTTACTTTTTGTCTGGTAGATACAGTATTCCTCATTATTTGTTTCTGCAGTAATTCGTGGGTGGTTGGCTCGAAAGCAGTTTGACGATAAGCATAAAATGAAGCAGTTAACTTATGAGAATTCAAATTCCAAAAGAAAGACAGGAAAGAAGATTTCAGAAGTGAAGGTATGCTCATTGGTGTAATTAATAACAACTTGATTTTATTCTTCTTTTTCCCCTTTTTTTGAAATTGGTGGTTGGTGACTAGCTTTCCCAAATATAACTTACCGAAGTCTTGTACATATTTGGTTCCTGTATTATGAATTGTTGTTAATGGCAAGATTTCTTTCATTTAGTTGAATTTCCTTCTTTGTTATTAGTCTTTTGAATCTCATCACGAGTGAAAGGCCACAAGGTTGAAATTTGCATCTTTGTAGTGATGACAGGTTCATTTGTTGAATTTCCAAACGCATCTTTCTTTCTGGCCTATAGCATTTGTTTTTCATTGTTTTGAATTGATTTCTAGGTATTTGACCTTTTCCTTGTCATTTCTTTCAGTCAACTCATGGCAGTTTTTTCTGAATTTTGACACTCAATAAAATAACGTTCACAATGAATAATGATTTACCGTCTTTAATCTACCAACTATAATGCACTATATTCAACCTATGATAGATGGCATTTGTTGAAGAACTGGAATCTTTGAGGGCAGTGTTAATCTAGGCCCTGGCTGTTTGAACACTATACTTTGGGTATAAAATTGGTGCAATATGTTGTTCAATGTCTGCTATGATGAAATTTCATGAATGCCCTGTTGACATGCACGACATTTGGAAGGGCCTTCTCCCTTTTTTTTTTTTTTTTTTCTTCCTGTGCATATGAAGCATCTCGGAAGGGCTAAGAAGTTGATTTCTCCTGCTTGATCAGGTCATACCACAAGAGCAGGTTGACATTCAGACTTCAATTTTGGCAGAGCTCCAAAAAAGGGTTGCTAAAGCAGAAGCAACAATTGTGCAAAAGGAGGAGGAAAATGCTGCACTGCAAGAGCAATTACAACAGTACGAGAAAAGATGGTCGGATTATGAGGCAAAGATGAAAGCAATGGAAGAGATGTGGCAAATGCAGATGGCATCATTGCAAGTGAGTTTTCTTGTTAATATTAATGCATATACATAATATGTTTTATTTTGTGGTAAGTATAACAGGAACTTAAAAACCAGTTTAACTGTGAAGAAATTGATTCTAAGTTATGGCTTCTATATTGAACTGTCATTATATTTCACTAGATATGTAGACTCTGTCGTATTAGATTGTCAATTTGAACTGGTTTGAGCATGTTGCTGTCCATATTAGGTATGCTGGCTGTCCTTGATGATCCGCTAAATAAGCTAAGGGACTGCCTTTGATCTTTAGCTGGTTTAGATCCCACTATAGAACTATAAAAAGTTGGAGGAACCGTAAACTAGTGATCATATTCTTGAAGTGAGTAGTATCTTCCATGGTTTTAAATAGCGGACGCTGTTGTAAAAAAGTTTGTGATTGCGATCGCGGATCGCAGCTTATCTTATTAGTAAAATAATGGTTGCGACAACCGATGTTGTGAATGCATTAGCAATTGTTAATATAATTATTGTGATTCACATACTTTAATAGTTTGATTAATTAAGTATAATAATATTTCTAATAGTTTAATATCATACAATAATAATTGAATTTATTATAAAAGAAAGTCAATAACACTTCTAATAGCTTAACATTTCACAAAAAATAATAAAATACATTACAACTTCAAGATGTAAGATTTCACGTGAATAGCACCTGAAAGAGGGTATAATAGATTCATATTTTTGAAAAAAGAAGTTAAAAAAAAAAAACTATAACGCATTTAGATAATGGCAAATAACGGTGTTACGTAACGGTGATGTTGTTATTTTCTATTATTTGTGTGAAATGGCGATGGGGACCCTATAACGGTGAATAATGATAACTGAAGTGCCTGAAACCGTTATGTAACGGCTGCTATTTAAAACAATGGTATCTTCAATTTTCTAATGTTGATCCAAGGACTTCTTTTTGAAACCCAAGAGAAGTTGAAATGGCAACTTTAACAAATATCTTCTGATGAGTGTTTCAATGCTTGTATTGGTAAAGTTTGTTGGAGATTGGGTTCAGGTTCAGGCCCATGTCTCCAAGGAGATCAAAGCCAAGAATTAAGAGATAAATTTCTTTCTAATTGATACGTGAAGGGCCATGTAATTTGTTATGGTTACTCCTCTGTCAATGGCTTCAAATGCAACATGTAGAAAGCAAAAAAGATTATCTCTTTTTGATGTGTGTGCACAGAAACACACATGCCTACACACGCACACAAAGATTATCTCTGTCAATAGCTTTAAATGCAATATGATGAAAGCAAAAAAAGATTATCTCTTGTTGATGTGCGTGCACAGAAATACACATGCCTACACACACACACACACACAAGGGTGAGACCTGCAACATAACCCATTGTTCATTTCCTGATGAAATATTCTCTAATTCTGTTGCAGACAAGTCTTGCTGCTGCCAGAAAGAGTCTTGCTACTGATAACACTGTAGGCCAACCTGGAAAACTTGATTCTTCAACATCACCTTGCTATTATGATTCTGAAGATAATGTTTCTCCGGAATCTCGAACACCTGGTGGAAACACACCCAACATATTTGCTAACGCCTTACCTGATTTAAGAGTGGGGAGAGAGAATAATGGCCCTGTACAAGTAGTCAACAATCTTGCAAAGGAATTTGATCTACAGAGACAAAGTTTTGATGATGATGCCAAATCAATAGTTGGGGTCAGGGCTGGACAATCAGCTTCCAACATGAATCCTGATGAAGAGCTTCGAAGATTGAAACTTAGGTTTGAGACATGGAAGAAAGGCTATAAGGTTAGATTACGGGATGCAAAGACAAGGCTTCACAAACTTGGTCATGGAGAAGTTGATAGAAATCGTCGAAAATGGTGGAGAAGATAGGCACGAGAGAATCAAAATGATCCAGGTTATGAATGTTCATATCTGGCGGGGCAAACACTTCCAGGAAGCTGCTTCCTTTCCAATTCTGGATGTGTTGCTTATATTCTATTTATAGCTACAGAAATTGGTGTTTATATGTCGTGAGGATAGCATAGTTGGAGAAATTGGACGTGTCTACCAATTTTTGTTGCTTGGTGGCAGGATTGACAGTCATGTGAATAGCCAGATAGGTTTGCTCCTGTCCCAGTTTCTTTTTCTTTTATTTAGTGCAAGTCAGTTGTATATTTGGTTAGATAGATGTAAGGACGAACTGGGTGGTATCAAGTGTGAAATATGGAATGAAATTGCCATATCGCTTCTTGTTATGTTGTTCGATCATAACAAGTATACAAGTAATTTTTTATCTCCCTTGAAGTATCGACCTTGTCCTGTTCTACTTTAAGTTCATATTTGGAAGAACCATTACTTGAATCAATTAATCAGAAATATTATTGTAAAATTGGACACTCGGTATCGGGTCTTGAGGCCCCGAATTTTTTTCCTATGGTAATTCTAATTTTCATAAAACATCATGGTTTTTTTTTTTTTTTTTTTGGTCTAAGTTCTCAAAAAATTTGATGCAATGTGAATAGCAAGAAGTTTGTATAGCGACTATCTCATTCTTCCTGGATCATCTTTTATGAGGAAAACGTTACGTCGTTGCACAGCAATTTGCACTGGATCGTACAACAAAACAGATTATACAATTCACTTTAGATCCCAACAATACAACGTCTTTAAATCTAGAAGTACAGGAACCATGACAATCCAGACAAGATCTCTCCATTCTACTCCAAGAAAGTAAAGTTAATTTATGACCCAGGCACGAACTTGGTGGCGTATACCCAAGCATTGTTAGCTACAGGGTTGTCAAGGTGGTCGAAGAGGTTCTCCAGGGGACCTTTTCCAGTAACAATAGCTTGAACAAAGAATCCAAACATGGAGAACATAGCTAGCCGGCCATTCTTGATTTCCTTCACTTTGAGCTCGGCGAATGTAGTCGGATCATCGGCCAGGCCGAGAGGGTCGAAGTATTGGCCACCAGGGTAAAGGTCATTACCCTCTCCTACTCCAGGGAGACCATTGATGCGGAATCCCTCAACAAGCCCCATGAGGACAACCTGGAATCCAAGGACAGCAAGGATGCTTTGGGCGTGGACAAGGTTGGGGTTACCCAAGTAGTCCAAGCCACCTTCTGAGAAGATTTGAGCTCCAGCTTTGAACCACACTGGTTCCTTGAATTCTACTTTAAACCATTTCTGAAGGACTTCTGGGGTGATGCAGCCTAGTGCTCCAAGCATAGCCCATCTCCCATGGATCACCTGAAAAATTGCACAGCAGTTCAGAGGGGCCATCAACCTATCAGTCAATCCCAGTATGGCATATACCGTCTTCTTCGTACTGCTAAATTAAAATTTTCAACTTTAATTCAACATCGTCAGAGATCATTCCTTCAATCCTCCTGTCGAATATTGTACTATGCTATTAACATTTAAGCCACATTTTATATCTTAGGTAATTGTTGTACATCGTAGAGAAACTAGTCATGATTTTTGCGACAAGAAGGTTACCTCGAGAGCCCTGTTCTTAGCAAAGGCCTCAGGATCGGCTGATAAACCAGCAGTGTCCCATCCATAGTCACCTGGGAATTCTCCAGTCAGATACGAAGGAGTCTGGGCTGAAAATGGTCCCAAGTACTTCACTCTGTCAGGTCCATACCACAACTCATTGCCCTATTCAAGCAGAACGTAACTATGTCAGCCCCCATCAGAAAATAACATCTGGAGAAGAGAGAGGAAGGGATAAACATAAACCTACCATGATGTATTTGCCATTTCCCATAGAGACTGCATCTCTAAGAGGATTAGCATTGGAACCCCTTTTGCCAAGAAATGGGGTTGGTCTAACGATGGTGCTGGAGCTAGCAAATGATGCCATTGTCTTCAAAATACTTTTCTTTTTTACTGTGCTTTCTAAGGTTAAAACTTAGTGAGATGTCTCTTGACGAGGAGAGAATTGTATACCCTGGAAGTGCGTAGAAAGGGAAGCATCAAGCTTATATGTGCAAGAAAGCTTGAGAATCAAAAGAATGAGTGGTCAAGAATGGAAGAGAGACAAGTGGTGGTGGGGATCTTCTAGGTTTAAATCAACCAATGAGGAGTCTGCAAGGGATTTTAAGTATCTCCAACTCATCTCCTTCTATCCTCATATTATCTTGTCTTTTACTTTACATAATTTTGTTAATTTTTGGTCAGAGAAAATCGTGAATGTGTTCCAACTACAACTACAGCTACTGATTTGTGTGGCAGTGCCGGGTTAATACGTATACTATCTCCAATTAGGTTTTTTTTCCCCTTTTAATTTGACTATTTTGTGGTATTCTTGGATCATATATCGTATTTAGACCAATTTATATATCTTGAAAATAAATTATCTGTATGCGAAATTAGAAGATTTATGAAAAATTACATTTTTAAAACTTCTCATAGAGTTAACCTGATTGAGAAGATGAAGGGAAAACATGTTTAGCAAATGCGTGGAGATCATAGTCCTTGAAAGTTTTTACTAGGTTTTGCCATGTTCAACTGTCGTTGGGGCTGTACCAGTTTGCACGGGCCCACCTTCAAGTTACGATTTTTCTTGCTCTGAAGCGGAATGAAACTAGAGGTCTAGATTCGAAAACTCATCCATTTCGCTACCTTTTGGCGAGTAAATTATAATTTTAATTCCTTCCGTTTCTAGAAACCAATCCTTGTTTTAAAAATTAATTATTTAATTCCTTAATTAATATTTACCATACTTAATTTAATATTATTTTATTAAAAAAACTCTTTTTTTTCTCATCAATCTTTCTATAATATTTATTTATTTATTTACTTTTTTTTTAATTCCACTCCATAATGTACTTCTTCTTTTTTCTTTTTTTTTTTGGGTCCAAGATAGGATTTTTGTTGATGAAAATTGAATACAGTAGATTTTTATAGCCTTAAATGAACACCCCAAGACAAATACAAGAGAATTGAATCCAAAGAAAAAAATGATTGGAGCAAATAAAATCTTGATTATTTCAATGGCACAAAAAAAAAAAAAAGTCACCAATTTAATTTTATATCAGTAATTCTACTACCTCGTAAACTCTTATATTCTCTTGTTAAGCGATGCCTTTTATCCAATCAGTTCTCAAGATTCGTTGAAACTTGCACAAAAAACTTTACAGTAATTAAAAAAAAAAAAACCTTAACCTCTAGAAAAAAAAAAAAAAAAGACACATAAGGGTAAGTAAAATAAAATAAACTGAATATTACAAAACAAAGACATTAATTATATCCAAAAAATAAAGCCTAGATATATTATTATTGAAATAAAATATTCAAAAACAAAACTCAAAACACTTTCCAAATCCTAAAGAAAGAGCGCAAACTTTTTATGTTCATATCTACTTTTATTACTTACATAGATCAAAACATCCTTATTATACTTTTTCACAAATAATAATATTAAATGTTGGTCTTATATTTATATCAAAAAATATATCTCACAAAAAAGTCTTCCGTTTTGTAATTCAGATATTTAAAATTTTATTTTTTTAATCATTACCTTTTTTTTAGACTACATTTCTTTTCTTATAAAATATTTTTTATGCTTATAAATATTAATTACCAATAAAATATTTATGTTAAAAAAATTAATATAGTTATTATAATGCTGGAAACTTCAATTTCATATACTTTTTGTTTTTTATTTAAATTAAATTTGAAGTTTAATAATTACAAATAATATTCCAATAAATTTCTATTATACCAAAACAAGATTTTTCATAGTTATACTAAAGATGAGGGATAATAGAACTTGATAAATACAGAGTGAGATTAGCGATTCATAAAATAGGAATAAAAAAACCCCTAGGACCTATAGTTTTTACTTCTTTAATTATAATTCAAAAGCAAATTCTATTTAAAATTTTCTAAATCGCCTTTTATTATGATTCTATCAATTAAAACTAGTTCTATATCATACATTTAAGTACCTAACTTACTAATTTTAAGAGATCGATCCAATAGTTAAAGAGATTTATTCTCTCTTGATTTTTCGAGTTTGAACTTTAAAATAACATTAAAGTTTGAATGTACTAGATTGATACGAAAATATGCTTTAAGATTTATCTAAAAATGAGATTCAGTCTCTATTTTATACAATTTAACTTAAAAATATTCCTTACCATCAAATTTTTTTTTAAATAAATATGATTCATTTGAGAATGTTTAGTGTTTGTTTCAAAATAACAAAAACTTTTCAAAGTATGATATCAACCTAAACCTTTATAAAAATTCAAAAGAACTGTGTTTTGTGGGGAAAAAAAAGAATTAATTTTTTTTTCCTTTTAAAACATCCTACACCAAGGCAATTTTTGTCTATCAAATGATACAATTCAATTCAATTAAAAGCATTATATTCCCTATCAATATTAGGAGGTAAAAGAGGGAGGGTGGAAAGGTTTGTAAAATAAAAGAATTTATCCTATTTGACAAATCAACAATGACCATTCTCATCCTTTAGAAAAAAATAAACAGAATAATTGTCTTTGCAAAAGTAAGATAAAAGTATTCTCAAATAAAGAATGAAAGGATTCATCTGTTTCTTTTACTTCATATTTTTCTTTTCAATCTTTTTAATTTGAAAAGACCAGTACACTCTATCCTTCCTTTTTATCCTTCTTAATCCCTGTGAAACACATTGTTAAGGAGAAAAGTGGAAGAAAAATATGGTAAAAAGGTCAAAAGCAGCATAAAAAAAGATTGTTTTTAATCCCTTCCTCCTGAAATATAATTTGTCCTTCACGTTACAGCAAGAACCGAGCTGTGTCACTAGCGCGCTCGCACTCGCTTCAATATTTCAAAATTTCCCAACGGTCGAATTACTTGCCTCATCTTTCCATAAAAACCATACCTATTTTTTAGCCATTCACCCTCTCCCAACAAAAGATCTCAACCGTCAATTATTGTGCGCTCCACATCGTCTATAACTCGTGAATCAATCCGACGTCTTTAACTCACTCGAACAGAGATCTAGTACACTTGTAACTTCACATATAACGAAAAACGTAGCCGTTCTAGGCATGTCCACAATGGGAATTTTGTTAAAAAAAAAAAAAAAAACAGTAGAGAAGCAGGGTAGCCAAGAGAACAAAACCCATTAGATTAGAAATGGAGAGTTTGAGTTCTTTTCGAGAATTCAATCAAGAAACATAGACAGTGGGATTTTTGTTGTTGTTGAAGGGTTCTTCTTCAATACTTAAAAAGAAACCATCAATGGCTCTTACAAATAATGCCAAAGATCACTGGGCGTTTCTGGTAAACCTCTTATTCTTTTTCTTTAATCCTTTTTTAAGGTCTTTTTTCGGGGTTTAAGAGTCTTTTATTTAATTTTTTTTTCTCGGGGTTCTTTTTTGTGCATCTTTGGACGGGTACTTAAGTATTTTGGATTATGAAATGGGTTTTTCTTGTTCGATGATTTTGTCGCACGTTGTGTGTGTAGTTGACGAGGGGTTATCTACTTTTAACAGGTTTTGATTGAAATTTTGAGGGTTTTTATTCTTGAATTTGGTATCTTTTTAGTATATCTGATAGAGATTTAACGTGATCAAGGAGATCTTTTAATTCTAGTATATGTTTTAATCTGGGGGTCTTGTTTTGATTTTTCATTTCTTAATGGACTTTTTTCAATTTGATTTCTAGTATTTTTTTTTTTTGGATTTCATGTGGCATTATGTCAAGATATATAATTTTGATTTTAGACTTAGTTAATATGCCTGAACTGATTTGAGTATAATTTTAATGGAAACAATTACAGTTATTTAGTATTTTTCAATCATTGGAATACCTGGCATTTTATGTTTCGGAAGTAAAATTATACGATTTCTTTTCAACATTTTAGGCTCGGTTGATGTAAATCTCTTTTCCGACCGTTTGTTTGCTAATGGTGGCCTTTATATTTTATCTGGATTTTCATGCATTCATTTATTATAGTTTGTTGATTCGCTCTGCTTGTTGATATATAGGAAGAAATTGAAGCACCTATGTGGGTGGATTTCATGGTAGAATCAAAGTCTAACTACCAAGAAGTGTGAGTTCCTCACTTCCTCTCTATGTTATGAAGTACTTTTAGAATTCCATGTTGTTTTCAGAATTTGGTAAGCAAAGTTCTGCAGTATTGAGACCGATACATTTCTTTTTTTCCACATTGCAGAGATGACAAGTGGTTTCATGTTAGCCATCCGTAAGCATCTTTATCCCTTAGTTATATTTCCATTTTCCATATTTATCCGTGGGATTTTTGTTAGTAAAAATTTAAAGTACAATAGTGAGCTTATTAACAACTAGATCAATGCAACTACAGGTTCCACGAGTGTTCTTCTCGCCAGTTAAAAACTGCATTTGCTCATTCTGGTGAGAGGAGTATGTCTTCAGATCTTGAGTTTAAGGGATCATCTTCCCCGAATATCCCATCCTCAGTCTCAAGATCAAGGGGAAAACACTACGCAAGCAAGAAATGGGGAGAAGGTAATTGTGATCTTTTAGTGAATAAGCAGCATCCGGTAAAGGGGTTAAATGGTAAGTCTTCAAGGGTGAATTCAGAACCCAGTGACGAAATAAAACCCAAACTAAGCTTTGTAAATTCTAAAGGAACTTCTAGGTCAAAGGTAACTAAGGTTTCTGGGAGTAGCTTCACTCAAAATGCTCCTAGGTCAAAAGTAAGTAAGGTTTCTGGGAAGAACTTCACTCGAAATGCTAAGGAAAGTGATTCAAAAGCTAAATCTGGTCAAGGTGTTATGGAAAGTAGTTCGAATTCCTTGATGGTTATGGCAGGTGAAAGCAATAATAGTAATGTTAAATTTGAGAGTGATCATCAAGCACGGCAAAGGAACCTAGAAGTGTCAAGTCGAGGATTTGATCACACAAGTGGGCTTTTGTCGGCTTTGAGGAATGGTCTTAGGAAAAGTTTTGTTACAAGAAAAGCTTCAAGGGTGGAGATTAATGATGAGAATAAGAAACCAAGAGATCGCAAGTCTTCATCCAGCAAATCTAGTGTGGGAGCGTCTTTTAACCCTGGCTACGATGTCAAGAGCTCAACACTTTTGTTGATGAGGAACAATGAACAAACTCCAGATAGCAGAAATGTAGGAAGGATGACTGAAGCAGCAAGGAAGAGAATAAAAGATTCTAGCATGTCCAAGGCTTGTAATGTTCAAGTTATGGAGAAGGTCTTCAATTCTAGAAAGGGGGTTTAAGTAATGTTGCAAAGTCAGCTCCCCAAGAAGCTCTGAAATCGAAGGTTAGAATCTGTACAAATTCAAGAGTTGTGGAAAAATTTTCCAAGCACAGAAACTTTTGGATCTTTGATAAATTACATCTAAAATAATTTATAACATTTTATTTTAACTACAGTAATAGATTGCCAGGATGAGTGATATTTATTGTAGAATGTCATAAAGATAGGAGCAAGTTGAAATTGTTCTAAACTTTGCAGGTTCAGAACCAGACCCGTAGTGTAAAAGCTTTGGCAGAACATAGAGGAAATGAACAACACTTATTACCTGGTACAGCAAAAGCTAAGGAGAAGGCCAGAGTTGGTGCTGGCCCTGGAAAAGAGAATGTGACAGGAAAAACGTCCTTGAGCCAGAATTGCACTAGCAGAGGGACTAAACTGAATGTGCCACAAAAGGGCGACAAAAAAATGTTGGTTAGACAAAAGGTACAAATTATTGATCATCAATTTCTGTCCTCATTTTTTGTTTTTTTCCACTTCTTTTTTCCTGAAAGTTGCATAATGATATGTGGACACATATGAGGTTCTTTAGCAATTCATAAGGATAAACTCAAGTTTGCTGAATTAAATGAAACATATAAATTTCTGCTTTTTCTTTGTACGTTCAATATTACACAACCCAGTCAAAGAAGTCTGAAATGATTAACTAAATACTGGTAATGAGAAATTTAACAGAAACTTCCTGTTATAAAGCATCTTGATTTATTTGTACGAGCATTTTCTTCTTATACCCTGTGGGGGCAGTCTAATAATTTCTCTGTATGCTATAGTGGAGGACACTTTTTCTTTCTAAAGATGTCTTTCGATTTCAAGCACTAGTAGGGAAGAATGTGAAGTTCTGAATTGTTTCTGGGTTTGGGACTGGTAATTGTGCAAGATGTGGAGTTTTTCTTTGTTGCTTGTGTCCTCGCCAATCCTAAAACTTGTTGGAATCAAATTAAAATTTTGAGTTGAATATTAGGTTGCAATTTTAGCTTTCAAAGGTAGTTGCCACCAGCAGGTATGAAAATGAACACTGTTCTTTTATTTTTTAAAAAATTTTCCTCCTCTAACCCCTCTTGACCATTTAAAAGAGCACGATAACACGAGGTTGGCAGCTCCCTAAGTTGTTAAAAAACGTGGTAACAATCGAAATTCAAAATCTACTCATTTGGAAATATATTCCAATTGTATGCTTCTAAGTTTGTTGATGGAATTTATTTCCTTGGGAGGATTTCTTGTTGGAGACTTGCATGCAGAGATCTGATTGATTTGTTATGTGGTCTTTGGTGTGGTTTTCCTTTTCAGTAACCTTAAGGTCTTTTTTGCATTTGGGTTAAGTGCGTCTTTCTGTCTGAAGATGGAGTATCTTTAACTAAGAACTGATGCAACCACCCCTCTGATAGTGTTTCTATACAAACTGAATCTTTATTGTTGGCTCTCTTTTGAATTTTTGGTAACATATGCAATAGCTTCTCACAATCCAACTTTCAACAAAATTTCGAGCAGGGAACAATCAGCGGTCCAGCCAAGGGGAAGCATCCAACAAATGCGAATCGTAGGGTCTGCCTCCGATAAGCAAGAATTGCAGGACAGTTTGTTTGTACATATATCGTAAGCGTAATTTCACTATCGGAGAAACGTGGAATTTCATCCGAATTCTGTTGCTTCCATATCCAACTCGTTATATTCGGAGGCAAATTTTGTTATCATGACTTTTCTTTCTTACAAGTCCTGAGGTTGATTTCTCTTAGGGCCTTGCTATTTGAGCATACACGAACTAGTGATCATTCTTCTCCGCTTCAATTTCAATTAATTACGAGAATGAAGAGTACTGGGATGCCGAACAATGCGACATCCAATTTGTGGGCACCTACATCGATCAAATTAATTCATTAAACGAATTATTTAGCTGACCATAGTCAACTCATAGCTAAACCGACAGCTGGAATTTGGAAGTCATATTTTCATGGAAGATCACTGCAAGATTCGGGCTGCTTTCATTTTTAAGTACAACATAGCCAAATTTCATGACCTTATACCACAAGTCATGCAAAATTGATGCTGTAAGATTGCAGTTTAATGTAAGCTAATCCACCAAGCTGTGTCCTTACAGTAACTTGCTTTAGATAGCGTAACCCCTCTTATCTCTGACTAATTTACTCAAGGATGCCACAAATGAGGGAGGCGAAGTAAGATTTAGCTGCATAAATGTTGCCTAAGAAACAGACCACAAATGTTAATCATCTGCTGTACAAAACTAATGAAGCAGGCAGAATACTTGCTTGATAGTTTTGTTTCTCTTCATTTTCTTTACAGAGCACATGGTTCATCGGCAATTCTTCAAACAAGGATATGCTCCAGAATGGGTCTGTATTGACCATAACAAATGTGCTTGACCAGTTTCAAGGTTAGGAGGGTTGAATCCCAGCTGTTCTTACCTTCTTAAAGCACCATAATTCCTTGTTACCTACAGACAAAGGGATAATTATCAGGTTCAAGTAGAGCTATAAAATGTTAAGAGATCGAAGGTGAAGTATAAATTGCAAATTTACAAGACAGTCATAACATAACCCATGGAGCAGAGATTTGTAAGCTTGCCATCTGGCAAACTGCAAGATTGACCAGTTACGTGCTTGATTAGGTGGCATATGTAAAAATAAAATTCCCCCAAAAGAGAGAGAATCTAAGATCACCAACCCGAGGTTGAGACTTGTTTAATCTCTTAGGCACATCATCGTCATCATCGTCATCATCCTTGTTCATGAGCATCCTCTGAAGGGCAGAGTTCTCTGACTTTCTTCCCCGCTTTGATGGTGTAGCACCTCTGCCTCTTCCCCTTGGAGCAGCTCTTTTTCTCCCTTTTACTTGGATGTTCTCATCATCATCCTGCAAAACAGACCAAATTTGGTTACATGGAGATTTGATTCAATTCATTTTTGAAACATGCATCAGAATCTCTCACAATAATTTCTCACAGATAGACTGAGCAACAGAAGATTTCTGCCGCATATGATGTGTTGGAGTCTCAATTAACCAAGAGCCTCAAAAGTACTTAGATTCAACAAAATAATCACTATAGAAGAATCTACAATTTACTTCCTGAATATTAAGTTGGACCTCATGAGACTTATTTGTAGGCAAGAGGCGATATCTGGCTATATGTCAACTTGGTTAACTTGAAGCAAAACGAACCGAGTCTATGTACTAATTTAGTCAATTAGCTAAATGATAAGCTTAACAACACATGGCCCCATCTTGCAAAATCATTAGCAAATTGAAGTGCAGGAAAAACATGCGCATGTGTGAGCAAGTCACTGGCTTGTAACTGGTTTCCAGAAGATAAATTCAAGATTAATGTAATTGGTGGATGGTTCATTCTATTGCCAGTGGAATCCCTAGTTCTGCTTCTTTCGCTTTCTGACTGTTTGTGAAGTATGGCATGCAATTTATTTATAGTAAACCAATCAATTCGATATGGTGATAGCTTTGATTCAAAAGAAATATGAGATGAAAAACAAAGCCAATAAAAGCATGATGCATAAGATTATGGAAACGAACTGCCCATACCGAACTATCAGCCACCTCATTAATTCCAAGTTTCTCTGCATCTTCACTTGAAGCTGAATCAACATTTTCATCCTCAGCCATACTTCTCACCGCAGTTGCTGCAGCCACTGATGCAGATCTGCAATGCCAAAAAATATTAAGCAAGAGTGGCGATATGAAAAGTCAGCATGCCCTCTTTGACCAAAAGAACTGCCCAGCATTTAGTGACGTACCCCTCAATGGCCGTGAACAGAAGTAAGATAATGAAAATAAGGGTATTTACGTTACAGGAGTATTTTTCAGTAAAGATCCTTAACAGTATTTTAATGCAGTCTTTCACAAATTTCTTACACAATGAAGACAGGGTAGGTTCTCTTTAACTTGTATTTTACTGTGAGCAAACAAAACTTCTACATTTCCCAGTTTTTGCCACATAGAGTTTGATTTCAAGTAAGCTCCAACCCGATAAGTGCAATCAGGCTATAGTTTTATTTTCACATTTCTTTTCTTGAGACCACTGATGCTACTTGACTATCAATTGGAAAAAATTTGCCCCCTTCAAATACAATGATATGGATTATATTTTGTTGTGGTATTATGAATCTTGTCACTTCTACATAATTGGACAAAAATATGAGAAATCAGGGACAAAAGCATAAACCTCTGAGACTGGCGAAACCCTAGAGTTACATCAAGAGTTGTCTGCTTCAAGTTACTTGAGCCTCTGCCCCTACCCCTTCCCCTTCCTCTTGCAGGAGTTTTACCTTTACCAGTTTCTGACACATCACGAGAAGACCTAGAACCTACTCTTGACCCTTTCCGGCCTCTAGCAGTAGATGTTGAGCCAGATATCTGGGCAGCATCTTCCTCGTCACTAAATGAAACTGCACTTCCAACACCTGCACTAGTACTTCTAAAATCCTGAGAGAGAGAGAGAGAGCGAGAAGGCCCAGACAATTTCTTTTAATTGGTACAATGAGTTTTTAATAAAAGAAAAAATTGGGAACTACTAATGTTATTGCCATGAACTAAAAAAAAAAAAAGAAGAGGAAGCAAGAGTTACCTCCATGGACTGTGCAGCATCTATAGAGCGTACGGACCTTTCCTTGACACGTTCCTGTAACAAATATTCTAATATCATCCATAAATAAATTTCAAGCACAGTCCAGATGTATATACAGCCAGTTTTGCTAGATAAATTAAGGCACAGTTGGAGCTTTGAGGGGAGCTCCTAAATGAATCACTGAGAGCTTAATTCTTTGTTGGTTCTAACAGGACAATGGTTAGGAACAAAAGGTAATTATTGCTCGTATACATATACAATGACAAAAAATACCTACAAAATACACACAAACAGATGTGGCAATTAAAAGCTGCAGCAACAAATAAAATCAAATGGACTGAATAAGTCGCTTCTGACAGCTGTGGAAAATGCAACCACCTGTAAATCATGCTTCAGCAAAAGAACTAAATCCCCAGGATAATATTGGACTTTAGTTAACCTTTATAGCAATTAAAAGTACAAATGTTGAGAAAATAAAATTCTTGCCTCCAAGAATTCTCCAACTTTAAGAATTAGATCTTCCTCTTCAAACTTCACTGCATCTGAATCTTTTGCAATTTTGCTCTGTGGAAGAAAGTTGACAAATTAAAAGCATCAGCAAAAAATATAATATCCCTACACAATGGTCCATACAAATAACTCAAAGGAGAACAACTGGTATTCTTCAAGTAAATTGTTTATCCATATAGATTTTGAGAACATAAATGCAGTGAATTCAAAAGCAATCCAGTAGATATTTCATGAATAATCAACTTCAAGTCAGAAAAAAAGTATGGCATACTTACACGTGTTTCTTGAATATTATACTGCACACAAGTATAGAAAGCCATTTTTTCATCTTTGCTAACAAAATTGTGCAATGCAACATCCAAATCATTGACCGGAAGAATCTCCATTTTCTGCAGGCACAGAATTTTCCCTCAGAATCAAGACTCAAAATTAATACCAGAATAAAATGCAATATGACTGATTCTAAGATATTTCTATCATCATTCAGCTTTATGGAGTTCAATTTAGTAGTAGGTTGGGACCTCTCATCTATGGAACCACTAAAGCCATCCTTCTATAACTGGAAATATAAAGCATTACTATAAGATATCCGGATCCTGTAGACGAAATCCAAGAATTCCTTTTTATTATGACGATTAATAGTCAAACAAGAGTTACCAGATGAAATGATGAAGAAATGAATGAAAGGACACGATGAGTGAGTACCAGATTATTTTCAGCAACTAAAGCCTCTATATTTTGTTGATTTAGTTCTTCTGGGCGAAGGCGTTCACTGTCATCAATTTTAGCTGCAGTTCAAGAAAAACAGGATCAAGATTATAGAGTCGCTTAAATACAGAGCAAAAATTCTGCAAAATTACGACAATGAAACTGCACTTTTCATTTCTTAAAAAAAATTAGAAGAGGAATTCCTAGATTATTTTGAAAATATTATGTTTCTATGGCACAAAATATGGACATTATCTGATATGTGACAATTAGAGAAAGAAAACAAATAAAAATTCCAAGTTTAACTGGAAAGCATCTGAATCTCACTCAGCTCAAACCCGTGGCTGCACATATACCACTCATCCCTTCAAGACAAATATTTTGTGTTTTAAATTCCCTTCATAGATATGCATTGTTTAATATTTTCTTTTGTCTGTAAGAGAACGTGTGAAGCTCATCCCTTCATAATATTTGTTTCAAATTTCCTCTTTAGGAATGAATTGTTAGTTATTTTCTTTGCGTGTTAGGGAATGTGTGGTAAGAATTTAAATTTAGAACTGAACAACTACACGCTATAGATGTAGTTCAAACCTTTTCTGTATTTGTTTACCAGTAGTTTAACAATCTTTGGACCAAGTCCCACACTAAGAGGCAAGAACAAGTCAATTGTTTACTCCATTCAACCTCCCCAAATCTCATGCATGCAGCACATATTGGGATTGTGACAGTTAAGATTCAAAATTAAACCATAATCAACAGGCATGTAATTACACATGCACAGAACCAACTGCAATGAAGCTTAAGTGAACAGATATAATCTACCAAAAATCAGACTATCAAAACTGAGAAGTTAAATAACATCGATTTTGAGGACTAAAATTACCTTCATTCCGTCCCTTCTTAGAAGTCTTTGAGAAAATAAGTATGTCTTGAGGATTTGCAACCTGAATTTTTTTTTTTAAATCAAGAATAAATGCTCAGATACGACTCAAAATAAAGTAAGCTTAACTCCTAGAATGAGAAGAGTAACAGACTGAATACCTTTCCCACATACTTCTGTCCAAATCTTTGAGGATTTATTGTCATAAATCCAGAGTAATCTACCTGTCAAATTAACCGAATCAGTCGGTAGGTGTACATTTGTCCACGAATAAAACATCCATTATTGGCACCTTTTGTCCCCACTAGGAGGTTTAGTTTCCATTAGCCTCTGCTTAACTGGAGACATGCAACCTATGTGAAGTTGTGAAATCCCTAATTTGATTTGTAAGAAAGAACCAAATTCTTTTGACCTCATCATAGTCAACAAAATTGCAACAAGAGTCAAATACTCAGATTGTAAGGGCAGAATAAAAGTTCTGAAAGTTAGTTGAGTTTAACAAGAAAATGGGGCTTGGCACACAGCCAAATGTCAGAATGTATCCCGGTGCCTAACAATGAGGTGTACGATAGTTGAAATTAATCATTTTTGTTCAAAATATGATAATGTGAACACTTAAGAGCAGGACCCCAGAGATGATGGTGAGAATGATCTATAGTAAATAGCATCATCTGTAAGAGTTGGCAGATATCACCTTTATTCGGACTAAAGGAAGCTTGAGCTCTGATCTGCTTACAGTCTTTTTGCTAGATTTCTCTATCAGGCTTCTGACCTACAGAAATTGAAGTTACGATGATACAGTTAGCAAATGTACTGCACCAATAAAGGCTATGATAAATCAGTAAGATGGCATAGGTAACCTAAAATATCCAAAAATTTCCTTGCCAATTGTAGAAAACAAGACTTACCACTTTGTCTAAATGTTCCAGAATTGAATTCTGATCATTGGGATCAATGTCAGATTCATCCTTTAATATAATCTGCATGATGAAACTCAGCAAGTTATATAGGTTCTTTAACAGATGAAGTAAGAATGTCGTTAGTTTACCTCGGTATATTCAAAAGGCCTCACAGAAGTCAAAGGTATCTTGGTTGGGCGATATTGATTTCCCTACAAAACAAACACATAGCTGTAACATACTGAGAAACTAAAAGTACTGCATCTTTAATAAGGAGATTTTATCTGAGGTTTTCCTATAAGCTACCTTAATTTCTAGAAGCAGCACATGTTTTGGCTTTGATTCTCCATCAATCAGTGATGTTGCAACTGAAGACCCTGGCTGCGTTACGTGAAATCCCATCCCTGGAACTTCCTTTTAAAATCAAAATCCATCTTCAATTCAGTGAGATACAGACAAAAAGAAAAGACAGTGGGAAAAAAAATGCTAGTGGCACCTGAGGATCAATAAGGCATTCATGTTCATGGCCCCACACTATGAAGTCCAGGAACCTTGGTAGAAAATGTTCATTTATAGCATTTTTTGGGTTTGTCTTAACTCTGCAGACCACAATAAAAGTAAAATTTAGAATTAAAAATGCTTGCATTACAAGATATAATTCTAATAGACTGTTAATGCTAAAGTGTCCAGGTTTGGTAAAATTACAAAGACAAACCTTGACATTTCCTTCTCAAGAAAAGCATGCAAAACCAAATGTAGACACTTTCACTCACTCAACACACACAAATACTGTTTCACTTGCACACCTGTTCTGATGAAGTACCAAAATGTTGAACCAGTCTGACACTTGACAGCCTTCTTGCGCTTCAGGTCTCATCCACTGTACAGCATGTGGTGTCTGAGAAATTAATGACAAACCAAACAAATAGATGAGTACCCTTAAATCAGAAATTAAACAGTAGAAAAATCTTTTATACCAAGTACCTGAAACATTCTATTAAGCCGTTCATCCCTAATGTTCCCAAGACCATAGAGAGCCACAGCTGTTGAACCCTGAAAATCAAATTAACTATCAATTCGTGCCATAATTATTTAAAAATACCATGCATCCTGCTACAGTGACTAACAGACCTTCCTGATAAGGATGGGGTAAAGCGTGATCTGACCCACCCCAGAACCCTCAAGAGCCATTTTTCCAAAATAGTTCACAAGATTGCATGCTGAAAGAATATCTACGGCAGAAAGGTTGTCCTGCACCAACAAGCAAAGTGAGGACCACAAGATGTGTTGTACCAAAGAGCAGTTGAAAGACACTGTTGAATCAACACATCAATTTGTTTACAGAAACTCATTGCCATTGTCAGACTAAACAGTGAAAAATTGTTGTCTGGTTAGCATTGAATAAAAATCCATCAGATCCTTGTGCACCGATTTCAAGTAGACACAAGCACCAATGGTTAACTGCACTTTAAATTTACATAGAAAAATGATGTCACCATAAATCCATACCACTCCAGCAGGATCATCATGATTTCCATGAATACTGAATACTGGCAAGCCAACATTGAAATGCGGATCTTCATAATTTACATGGCCAAATCTGATACAATAAAATGAAAAGTTGTTATGCACTAACAAATATATTTGACGAGTTTCTACTTAGCAAAGATACAACTTTGAGCGTGTGTGGATGTCTCAATACATATTCATGAGAATATATACCACACCATTTTTGTGGAAATCCCTAATGCCTGCAAGAGGTTAGGTATATTTAGTTGGATGAGAATTCATAATTTTCTTATGACACGCAGACATGTACAGACACTTCATTATGATTTTCTACAGTAGGTGCTTTTGAGGAATTTCCCGATCAGATATACAACAAGATCAGCTCTTTGTTTTAGTTTTTGGTTCTTGTTTATGTCGCAGTGTTTCTATCATTACACATATAAATGAAAAAGAAAAATGTTGCAGCATAACCAAAAACAAAATCATAATATGGATATATTAAAAATGTGGCCTGGTTTTACATGCATTCAACTTATTAGAATAATTAACTACGTTATGGAAACGACATGAATAAGAACCCAGAGGTCAACGTATACATGAATTCTCTTTAAAAATGTAGCCTGGTTTTACATGCATTCAACTTATTAGATTAATTAACAACGTTATGGAAACAACATGGATAAGAACCCAGAGGTCAACATGTACATGAATTCTCTTTCAAATAAACTGGGAAACAGAGGAAAACTTTCCAGCCAATGAAAAGAAATAAAATGCTACCAGATTAAGTTCTTACACATTTGCAAAATTCACAGTCTGATCACTAACAACTTGGAACTGCACTGGTTGATCATTGAGGCAATGACGACGAAGAATCTCAATGGCCTTAACTAATGTTGACCTTGAGGGCTTATTCTCATGGAAAAGATCACCTCCGAGGAGTAAGAAGTCCACCTGTTACCAAATACATGTCACACAGTAAACCTCATCACTATTATGCATTAACTTTGATAGATGATTGATTATGAGATTTACAGCCGACCAATCAAAAGAGAACATGCTTCCTCAGTGCCATAGCCATCACAATGCAGATCTTTCAAATTCAAATCACAATGAAAGTGTTTACAGTTGCTCAGAATTTATCAGCATACGTCTCTTCTGCCATATACAATGTGTACAAGATAGCAAGAATTTTCAAACCAGCAGGCACATTTCAAATGCAAATTAAGAGCGCACAAAAGCAACATTACCTTCTTTTGGTCAGCTATGGAGCATATCTCTTCGAACGCCTGAAAAGAATCATGCCGCCGTATCTCATCCTTCTCCATGTACCCCAAATGGCAATCCGTTGCAACAAGTATTCGAAGCGTATTTGTAAGATCATCCCTGGGAGACTCATTTCAATATAATCACAAAAGGAAAACTTCAAATAAATAAATAATAATGCAAAAATCCCCAACTAATAAGATTTTCTAACAGTATAATATAATAAGTAAAAAAAAAAAAAACAATAAATCGATGTAGCACTTTCTCCAATCTATAAGCCTATTTGGTTTAAATTTTTTTTTACAGGCGATTAATTGTTTTTCTCTCTAACTTGAAAACAGATTGTAAATTAAAGAAAAAAAAAAGCAGAGAGAGAAATTCACCTTGACAAGTCTCCCATGTTCCTTCCTCTTCAAAACCTAAAATGTAAACTTAATTGTAAAAAAAAAAAAAAAAAAAAAAAAAAAAAAAAACAATCACTAAAATCCCTAGATAGAAACTCAAAATCACTTAAGTTTATATTAAATACAAGAAAAAATTCCATAAATCAGGACTTTTGAGCATACAACAGTAAGCAAATGTAAACAAGGATGAATGAGCTGAAAAGCAAAGAAGCAAATGCTGTTTGGTTGCGGAGAAAATAAATAGAATACAGAGAGACAATTACTTTTACCGTTCGATTTTGGAATTGAAGAGAGAAGAGTGGTTTCTTGGTGGAGGAAAGCAGCGAGCTAAGTTAAGAGTGAAAGAGAAAAGGGATTCGCCGTGGCGGGGAATTTCAAAGGGGAAAGAAAGACTCTCAGAAACCAGCAGAAATAGTTCCACATTTGTTTTTCTCCTTTTCTTTTTCCATTTTTATATTTAGTTTATTATATTATTTACCCCTGAAATCTTTTATATTTACAAAAGTATCATACCTTTCGTGTTTGGAAATGAGTGGAATGTTTGGTTGTTTTGTCACTTGGACAGTATTATTTTCTTTTATTGACTACATTGAATCATATGTTCATGATTGTTGATTAACAATATTGGGAAGTTTCGCTATTATTCGACACTTTATGCTTTTGATCCTTGGCTAAGAAAGCACTATAATTTTTTTTTTCCAAACTCATATATATATAATCTTTAAAATTTTGATTTGAATATTATGAATTATTTTTTATAAACAGCAAGCCTCTCTTATCATTTGTAATAAAGAAAAATTATCCTGCTTTTAATACAAAATAGTTTACGTTTAATATAGAATATCTTATGTTTAATATATCTTTATACACTCTCATATCGCATCACATTGTTGCTATTATAAAAAGTAATTAACCTAAATTTTAGTATCATTGTTTGTTAAATTCTTCATGGCATCAGAGCAATGTGTATAGCTTTTTATTTATTTATTTTTTTTAGCCATGGCGATTGAATCACAAATTATAAGAATAATGATTTGATATTTAATGTGAATATGTCAAATATCGTAATTGACATCAAATTTTCATTCTACTTGCATCTCTTAAATTATCCAAGTTTAATTTTTGTTACACAACCTTTAAGTGAAAAAAATAATTTATTTTACATGAAAAAGTAATTTTTTTAATACTCTCCAATCCAAGAACTGGACAGGATTCGTGGATGGATCGATAATCAAACCCAATGCTAAATCTAGGATTTTCAATCTTGAATTCAATATAATGCGATTGTCAAATCATAGCTTATCAATGTTGTTTTCGAAGAATTACAAACAGGTGTGGCTCATCCTAACACTACTAGCAGAATATGAAATGATTTTGATGAGAGGTTTACTCAAGAAACTATGTCTAGAGTGTATGAATTGAAGTGCTCAGTTGTCTTATTTCCATAAGAAAAATCAACTATTTCCATATATTATGAAAAATAAAAAAATATATGAAATGAATTGCAAAATTGTAGGCCTATATCTATTTGTACTTTTGGAGCCACGAGGAAAATAAAGGAGATGTCGAGGAGGAAAAGGTTTTTGATTTCCTAATAAGTTTAGATGATATTTATAAAATTATTTGGTCCCAAATCTTGAGAATTGACTCTTCCTGTAATTATTGCAAATATGACAATCACAGAAGAAAAACTTGTTATGCTTTGATTGGTTACCCATCTAGTTGGAGGAAACCAAAATCACGAGAGTCATCCACACTCACATGTGGCAATCTCGTCAGCTCTAGTTACTATGGTTAGACATGTGGCATTAGATGTAGTGAATTCTCCAGCAAATTATCCTTTCATTAATTCCATGGTTTAACGTCTTTAGCCCAAGCCCACATTGCAGCGGCGTCATCAATAACATGGATTATTGTCTTCAGCCTAAACCCATATTATAGCTTCCTCAGCCCAGGCCAGTTGTCGAATCTTACAGCAGCTGGTAAATTTTTTGGACTGTTAATCTGACCTGTATGCTAATATGGCTTCACATAATTCTTCTAGTAAGCCAGAACCATAAATAATTGAAATCGTAGCTACGAATCATATCGCATGCAATATTGATGTCTACATAAATTCCATCATTTTATCAGTTCAAACTCCTAATAATGATTGCATCCTTATTCAAGTTTTGGGTTCGAGTAGAACTTGGCCACGAGTAGAACTTGGCCACAATTTAAATTTTGAGCATGTTTTGAGAGTGTCTAATTTTTACTTTAATTTACTCTTTATTAGTAAATTAACTTGATATTTTAATTGTATTCTAATCTTTAGACTTAAATTTTATGTGATAATAGGACTTATACCCGAGAAAGCTTATTATAGTTGGTAGAGTACATAATGGGCTATATTATTTGGAACCAACCAAGGTAGTAAAGACACTTATGGTAAATCGATCCAATGCAATAGATTTATGACATCGACTTCCGAGACATATACTAATGAACCAAGTGTTGTTAGTTTCAATTTTATCTCGTTGAGATTGATTTTTTAAAAATTTCTTTTTTGATGCCTAATGTTAGGTCGAGTAGAATAGCTCGCCTTTTCTAACTCTCATAAGTAAATTCAAGAATAATTTTGATTTTGTGCATTGTGGAATTTGATGACCATTTCACACTTTGTGTCCTTTAGGATTGCATTGCTTTTTTATAATTGTTAATGATCATAGTTGTGCCACATGAGTTTTTCTCATGAAATACAAATAAGAAACTAGGTGTTATCATTTGTTCTTTTTCAACTTGGCTCAAGCATAGTTCAATACCAAAATAAAGGTTTTTCATACTAACAATGGTCTAGAGTTTAATCACTCAAATTTGATGAATTATTATTTTGAACATAGAATGATTAGACGGACCACTTGCACATACACCTCTTAACAAAATGGAGTGGTGAAACCCAAACACTTGCATCTTTTAGAAATGGCTAGACTACTACATTTGTAGGCTAACTTACCAATCAGCTTTTGGAAAGAATGCATTTTAACTATGACATATCTAATCAATCATATGCTACTTTCTACTATACAAAATAAGATGCCTTATAAACTTTTATTTGATTAGTTATCCGATTATTATCACTTACAAAGCTTTGGGTGCCTCTTCCATGAACATGTTCATAATAAGTCCCAAGATAAAATTGCTCTTTGAAGCAAACTAGAAATTTTTTTATGGGCTATCTTAATGGTAAAAAAGGCTACCAAATTTATGATTTAGATAGTCGTAACATATATTATTCCCTAGATGTTGAATTGTTTGAGAACATTTTTCCATTTAATAAACCAAATAGTATTACTAATTTACAAGTTGAAAATTGAGAAAATCTATTTGATGACTCACTAGTTGAAGGAAATGCACCCATTAAATCAAATTATAGGCTAATATTAAACATACGTAAGGAGATGATTGAGCCTAACACTTTTTTGTGTAACATGAACCAGTTGATTTCTTTGAGACATGGGCCCAAAACACTCTTATGTATTCTCGTTCACCCACTACTAGGTAATTTTCTAGGAGATGATTGAGCCTAACGCTCCCCTTGTGACATGAGCTAGTAAATTCTTTGAGACATAGGCCTAAGACACTCCCATACAAGCTCCCTCACTCAACATTAGGCTATTTTCTATAACATAGCCTCGCTAACACTCGAATCTACCCATCTTGGGTCTTTAAGTACTAGACGACCCACCACTATAGACTCTATACATCTAACATCTATATCTATTGTTCAACTCACTATCGAGGAATAAATGGATGATGGGCTTTCAAATGTTGGATAGTGCCCTAGTCCCAATTTAACCACTTTTTCTCCTTGTCATTCTTTGGGTCAAACACCATTTTCGAACCTAGTAGGCATTCATCTTCATCTTCATATACGCCTTCCACTCATGTTAGATAATTATTCAAGCATCTCTTAAGTTTTCATTTTACTTTGCCACCTTTTCTCCCACCTCCCTCCACTTTGCACTCTTCGCACCATTCGACTAACTTGACGGTACATCCTTTATCTTATAATATTTCATATTTAAAATTTTTTAGAACTCATAACGTAATTTTAGTGGCCATCTCTTCTATTAATGAGCATACATCTTTTTCTCGTGTAGTTCAACATGTTTAGTGGCGGATGTTATGGCTAAAGAAATTTCTACTTTGAAAGCCAATCAAAGTTAGACACTCGTGCCCTTACCATGTAGAAAATGTGTCATTGATTCTAAATGGGTATACAAAGTTAAATTTAATCCAGTTGGTTTTATAGAGAGATACAAAACTAGTCTTATAGCAAAAAGATACAATCAAATTGAGAGTATTGATTTTCATAAGATATTTGTACTAGTAACCAATCTTTTTAATATTGCTTTAACGTGTAAGTAGGAACTTTATCGATTAGATATCAGCAATGCCTTCTTGCACGATGATCTTGATTAAGATTTCCACATGAAAATTCCTTATTTTGCTAAAAAAAAAAGGATTAATAGGTTTGTCACCTTCAAAAGTCCTTTTATGGACTTCGTTAGGCTTTTCAAAACTAGTATTAAAAGTTCCCTCGGCTTTTACTAGTTGTGGGCTTTTTTCGATCTTTTTTTTTATCGCTATTTATTCTTTTTTTTAATCTAGATTCATTTTTTTTTATTCTTATTTGTGTTAGCAATGTGATTATTACGAGTACTAATACAACTAAAATCTCTTTGTTCAAAGAATATTTGGACACCAAGTTCCATATTAAAGACTTTGGCAAACTCAAATATTTTTTAGTTCTTGAAGTTGCACGCTCTTCGAATGACATTATTTTAAGTCAATGTAAGTATTTTCTTGACATCTTAGTAGAATATGGTTTAACTAGTTGTAAATCGTCCTCCTTACCCATAGATCAATAACATAAATTTGATCCCGATTCCAACTTTATTTGTGTTGATCCTAGCCAATATTGTCATTTTATTGGATGTTTGTTTTATCTTACTAT